ATTAGCCACTCCCTACCGGAAAATAACCGCTCAAATCTCTTGTAATGAAAAGTTCCCTTTTTTAAACAAGCATTTGTATAGAACAATATTCGGAAACCATTGCGTTGAGTAATTTTTGACAATTCAAAGCAAATTGTAAATCATTCAAGCGATTTTGAACCAATTCTTAACAGTTGTTATCACCAAACGATAAAAACATAAATCTTGATACAAAAACAATTTTGTATATTTCGTGAGGCCTTATTAGCATCATCTTCAAGAGTCTTGCTTAAACTTGATCTGATTCTGACGGTTCTCACCTACAGCAAGTGCAGTTCATACTGAATTATTTTAACTTAACCTCTCATAAATAGTTCAACACGAAACAGCTACCCATAATGCTAATGAAGACTAAACCAAGGGTTCTCCTTCAACGACCATTAATTACCCCTGCTAATTTGCTGTTCTTAAGGAGTCGTCGTATTGGTCTCATGACCTTTTTAAGTCTCTCTAAACAATCGTGACATTAGCGTTAGAAATATTCAAATCAAATGCAACAGGATTTATAGAGTGTATTTATTACCACACGATGAGTATATGACAATATCAAATTAAAAAAATAACCTCGAAATTTATTCGCCCTCATTTGGCGCAGATATCAGTCCAATGCAATAACGCTACAATATATCTAAAGAATATGCAACAAATCCAAAGTAGATTATCCAAGCGTAAGAAATATGTCTGATCCAAATTTAATTTTCATCGAGACAAATTAATATGAGTTCAAGTTGGCCATAATAGGTAAATATAGTTTCACAAAAAGTGTTTCACACCGCGATGCTGGACACAAAATATCGATAATGCCAAATGTATATCAAGCTATATATACTCTAAAACCCCAGGCATATCACTCTTAGGTAGGTGGTGCAAATTAAATTGTATAATTTAATATGTAATTGTGCCTTGGCTTGACGGTAACATATGTTTTCCTGTCTTGATATGAAAATGGAGACGCCGATAAAAATTAGAAATCACTAAACAATCATAGCGTTATTACAGAAAAGATATCACCCAACTCCACTCTTACCAAATCTCTCCAACTCACCGGCCAATAAATTTATAACGTTATAAAAAATTTAGTTTGCATATTTTTATGTGAGGAATCGAAAAATAATTGGAAATTACAGTTTCAGATATACATTGCCAGATCCATATAAAATTGCGTAACCCCCACTATAAACATAGTTGCAAAATATAATTTGAAAAAAGAACGGATAAATTATCATTTTTCAAAAATAATATGAGTATCAATTGCTAAATCATTCATATAATGAATATTAAAAATGTGTATAAATAATAATATAATTGAAGAATGATATTCGGAGACATATAAATGCGTTAATGAAAGAAATAAAAAAAAACATGTAAACAACCAACTAAAAACGATAAGACACTAAAAATTCCAGATCCTAATTCCTAAAATAGCATTTATATTTTCTGCTTTTTCTACACCATCAATTGGAATGTTGGGATCCTAATTCAGTAATTTGATAGGAGTTGAAAAGAATAAACTAAAATTTGAATAAAACCTTCTTTTATTATTAGTAAAAAATGTCAAATTACGTATTCAAAAGTGTCGCTATAATAATTTGTTTTGGATTATAATCAGGGTTTTACGACAATTTTACGATCGACTCGGCTCAAAACTCCGAGATATCATGGAAATGACGCCGCCTTTGATGCTTTAAAGCGGTTCACAAAATTTATACCAGGAATCTGACTCAATACTCTAAAGTCTAACTAATTATAGAAACGACTCCGGATTTGACTCTCTACGAGAGGTGGGCAATAAATTAGACTTTGAATCCGACTCCAAATATTATAGAAGCGACTACGGCTTTGACTCCGACATTAACAAAATGTGAACTTTGAATCCGACTCCAAATATTATAGAAACAACTACGACTTTGACTCCAACTCCGCAATTAACAAAATTTTAATTTGAAATTCGACTCCAAATATTATAGAAACAACTAGGACTTTGACCCCGACTCCGAATATCATAGAAACGACTACGAATTACGGCTTTGACTCCAAGTCCGAATGTAATAGAAACGACTACGGCTTTGAGCCCGACTCCGAATATCATAGAAACAACTACGGACTACGGCTTTGACTCCAAATATTATAAAAAATAAAAAAAAAACCATGATTTTGATACCGACTCCGCAATTAACAAAATGAGAACTTGGAATCTGACTCCAAATATTATAGAAACAACTACGGTTCCGACTCCAAGTCCGAATATCATAGAAACAACTACGGCTTTGACCCCGACTCCGAATATCATAAAAACGACTACGAATTACGACTTTGACTCCAAGTCCGAATATAATAGAAACAACTACGGCTTTGACCCCGACTCCGAATATCATAAAAACGACTACGAATTACGACTTTGACTGCAAGTCCGAATGTAATAGAAACGACTACGGCTTTGACTCCAAGTCCGAATATCATAGAAACGACTACGGCTTTGACTCCAAGTCCGAATGTAATAGAAACGACTACGACTTTGACCCCGACTCCGAATATCATAGAAACGACTACGAATTACGGCTTTGACTCCAAGTCCGAATGTAATAGAAACGACTACGGCTTTATCCCCGACTCCGAATATCATAGAAACGACTACGAATTACGACTTTGACTGCAAGTCCGAATGTATTAGAAACGACTACGGCTTTGACCCCGACTCCGAATATCATAGAAACGACTACGGCTTTGACCCCGACTCCGAATATCATAGAAACGACTACGACTTTGACTGTAAGTCCGAATGTAATAGAAACGACTACGGCTTTGACCCCGACTCCGAATATCATAGAAACGACTACGGCTTTGACCCCGACTCCGAATATCCAAGAAACGACTACGAATTACGGCTTTGACCCCAAGTCCGAATGTAATAGAAACGACTACGGCTTTGACCCCGACTCCGAATATCATAGAAACGACTACGAATTACGACTTTGACTGCAAGTCCGAATGTAATAGAAACGACTACGGCTTTGACCCCGACTCCGAATATCATAGAAACGACTACGACTTTGACTGTAAGTCCGAATGTAATAGAAACGACTACGGCTTTGACCCCGACTCCGAATATCTAAGAAACGACTACGAATTACGGCTTTGACCCCAAGTCCGAATGTAATAGAAACGACTACGGCTTTGACCCCGACTCCGAATATCATAGAAACGACTACGAATTACGACTTTGACTGCAAGTCCGAATGTAATAGAAACGACTACTGCTTTGACCCCGACTCCGAATATCATAGAAACGACTACGAATTACGACTTTGACTGCAAGTCCGAATGTAATAGAAACGACTACGGCTTTGACCCCGACTCCGAATATCTAAGAAACGACTACGAATTACGGCTTTGACCCCAAGTCCGAATGTAATAGAAACGACTACGGCTTTGACCCCGACTCCGAATATCATAGAAACGACTACGAATTACGACTTTGACTGCAAGTCCGAATGTAATAGAAACGACTACGGCTTTGACCCCGACTCCGAATATCATAGAAACGACTACGAATTACGACTTTGACTGCAAGTCCGAATGTAATAGAAACGACTACGGCTTTGACCCCGACTCCGAATATCTAAGAAACGACTACGAATTACGGCTTTGACCCCAAGTCCGAATGTAATAGAAACGACTACGGCTTTATCCCCGACTCCGAATATCAAAGCAACGACTACGAATTACGGCTTTGACTCCAAGTCCGAATATCATAGAAACAACTACGGACTACGGCTTTGACTCCAGATATTATAAAAAAAAAATAGGATTTTGATACCGACTCCGCAATAAACAAAATAAGAACTTGGAATTTGACTCCAAATATTATAGAAACCACAACGGCTTTGAGCCCGAAACTGTAATTAACAATATGTGTACTTAATCGAGCAATTAAACAAGCGATTCCGATTTTCACTCCCGATCAGGGTTAACAAAGATTTGGATACCAGACTGGAAAAGATTTTACTTCGACGTCTTGTCAAGCGATGACAACAAAGAATCGGTCTACTGCGAACCTTCTAAAATTAATAAATAATTGAAAAACATCTTTCGGATTCCGATGAGTTGGAAAAAAAATGATTCAGGCTCCGACACCAATATCAATATTTCAAACTACAACTCCACAGCGAGGAATTTCAAATAATTTGACAATTAAATAACAAAATCATCAATTCGCCCTTCAAGTTGCCCTCCACCGACAACACTCGATGACAATTTTATAAAATGAATTCCGCGGAACCGTGGGAATTTATAAGCGACGTTAAGAATTCCTATGGCCAATGAATGAATTAACATAATTTATTTGTTTTGTTCTTTTTTCATTCCTACTGGGTATTAGCTGAAATTGATTTGTTGATCTGCACGCAGCGGAAAAATATATTCAAGGGTATTAAATGGAGGAACATTATATAGAATGACAAAAATGCATTTAGGTATGCAGCGGCGGAGCCAAGGTAATACCAGGTAGCAAGGGAACAATATGAACAATGACAAAAATGGTGTTGTATTCATTAGTTGCGATTGCCAATTTCATATGAAGGTGTTTTCTAGGCCATTCAAAGTTGTTCAACAGGTAAATGTGGGAACATGAACACATTATCTCGATGCTACACACAGAAAGATATTAAAATGGGAAAACTGAATTGAAATATGAAGTATC